CTACATGTTTTGGAGTGGCAGTTTCAGCTTGAAGGCAAGAAGGGTAACCCCTGACCACTGGGTCAAGCTGTTGACTGTAATATCCTACATGCTGATGTTGTTTGCCATGTTTTTGAGAAAGTAAGCCTAATGCATTCCCACTTAGTTCATGAACAAATAAGAAAAAATCTAATTGGTAGTTAGGAATTCTTAAAGCTGGAGCTGATGTTAAAATCTCCTTTAAATATTATAAATTTTGGCAGTCCTTAGGGATAAGTTCAAAGAGTTTGGTTCTGAAGACTTTAAATACTTGTATAATGGTTGGGTTGACAAAAAGAAAGAAATTTAGGACCCAAATATGGCAACAGCCACACAACCCAGAAATTCTTGGAATTATTTCATTGATTTTGCAATTGGATAAGCTACAAGAGCATCCTTTCTTTTGGGTTCAATAGAAATTCTCTGGGCTGATGTTAAGTGACCTGAATATTTAACCACAGGCTGGGTCGGTTGTAATTTATCTTTAGACAATTTATGATGTCTAGAGGCTAAATGCTTAAGTAAAAGGAGGCTATCTTTTTAAGTGAGTCTCCTTGGAGGAGGAACACACTAACAAGTCACTTACATAGTGTAATAATGGGGAATTATTTTCAAATTGTAGATTGCAAATCAGAATGCAAAACCTGAAAAAAAAAAAAAAAAAAAAAGGGAGACTCAGTAAAGTTTGAGGCATCACAGTCCAAGTAAACTGTTGGTTTTCCTATGTGAAAATAAATATTGTCTGTCAGGGTGCACAGGGCTGTTAAAAAAAATGTACTGCAAAGATCTATAACTGTAAAATAAGTGGCTTCCATTGGGACATTAGAATGTAATGAATGAGGGCCACTGGGAATCTAGAAGTAACTATTTGATTAACTTCCCAGAAATCTTGGACAAATCTCCAGCCTCTATTATTTGGCTTCCTATCTGGGAGGACAGGCTTGTTGCAAGGGCTGATGCAAGGAATAATAAAGCCTTTAGACAGAAAGTCTTGAGTTATCAGTGCTAATCCTTCCTTAGCTTCTTGTTTCAAAGAATATTGATGAATCTTTGGCAATTATTTAGATAAATCAATTGTTCCATTTCATTTTTGACAACTTCCAATTTTCCTACATCCATGCTTTAAACATTCCATGTTCCAATTATTAATGGATTTTTGCAGCTGTTTCTATGATCTGCTCATAGATTATTATTACTGATATTGCAGTATTGTGTGCATAATAGTATTGTGTATGTAATACCTTTGTTGCCTTTGACTCCTGTGTCCTTCCAGTGTCTGCCTTTGCCTTGATCATTTTCTGCTGACTTCCCCTGTATTTTATATTGACTTTCCCTTCACCCAAGTTAATATGCCCAACTATATCCTCTAGTTAAGGAGCACTGGTGGTGTAAGGAATTTGGCTGCTAACTAAATGGTCAGTGGCTCAAATCCACCAGCCACTTCACAGAAGGAAGATGAGACAATCTACTTCCATAAAGATTTACAGCTTTGGAAACCCAATGGGGGTTGTTATGAGTTGGAATTGACTCAATGACAGTGAGTTATACTCTCTAGTTAGTAATTTACCCTCCTTCACCTGCTAACCTTCAAAGAATAATTTCTTTCTGTGTGTAAACTTTTTGTTGACTTTTTACAATAGTGGTCTCAGACAATATTTGTTCTTTTGTGATTGACTAATTTCAGCATAGTATCCTCCGGGTTCATCCATGTTATGAGGTGTTTTGCAGATTCATTGTTATTCTTTAATGTTATGTGTGTTGTTGTTGTTGTTATATGCTGTTGAGTTGGACCCAATTCATAGCGACCCCTCCTTGGGTTTTTGAGGCGGTATCACTATGGAAGTAGATTGCCCAACCTTCCTTCCAAGGAGTGGCTAGTGGCTGATGGGTTTGAACCACCAGCCTTCTGGTTAGCA